GCCCCGTAGGAGGAGTGGTGGTTGTAAAATATGTTACTTTGTTTTTTTCATTCATCTTCCTATTCATCCATCCATTTCATCCATCCCATCCATCTTTTCATCCATTCACCAATCCATTGATCCATCTGTTCATCCATCTACCCAATATTGCATGGCTGCATTTATGTGACTTAATTACTTTACTCTAATTTTAAGAATTGCCTGAAGAGAAAATATTATAAGTTGTAATAAACTTGTTTCATCCGAGTTTACAGTCAAACTATGAGAACAGTGAACTCCTAAGGCATGTCTGGAATGTTAAACATCATGTCATGACCAATCACATGTGATAGTTCATTAGAAAAGAATTTATTCTTGCATGCAAATTGTCAGAACACAATTCTTTAACATTCCAGACATATTTTAGGTGTTCACAGTTTTCTTAGTTTGCCTATAAATGCTTCCTTAAATATTTCTGAAATTGTTTTAGCTGAGACTTCAAAAGATTTTGTAATCATAGTAAAAGTTGTTTTTTTGTTATGTATAAATTCCTAACTAGTAAATTTTTATACGTGGCGTACGTATAAAAGATTWCTAGTTAGGGATTTATATCTAGCGAAAACAACACTATGTTTTTTAAAATAAAACTGAGCTTTTGACCATCTTGGCCATCAAAGTATAATAATGTCAAGGATGTTTTTAACAGTTACTTTTTCCCTAAATTATGGCCAAGATGACTAAAAGCTTGGTTTTATTTCTAAAACCACATTTAAATGTTCAGTAGATGAAATGAGAATTATTACAACTAATATACTTGTGTGTGATGCTGACAGTATTAAACTGTGTCTGAGATGTTTATTTTTGTTTTAATGTTTATTATTTACTTATTATTTATTTGTCATTAGTACATGAGTCTTGCTCCTCTCTACTACCGAAATGTTGCAGCTGCCATTCTGGTCTATGACATCACATCTGAAGTAAGATTTTTATGATCATATTGACATTGTTGCATTTTYAAAGATTATTGTGCATGGATGTCCAGTCACAGACAGACATTCCATCTGTAGGGACCAGTTTTTATATAGAAGGAGAAAGTGGCTCAAATGGGGGAGGATCATAATTATTTTTCATGCAAGCTGAAAGAAAGGGTCACAATATCATGGGGAGCCAGTGATTTTTCTGCAATAGGTAAAGGAGGACCTCTTAAAAAAAATATGCAAATCAAGGTAAAATGCACTAGAGGATGGATGGTGATGGTAATGGTGGTGGTGGTGGTGGTGGTGGTGGTGGTGATGATGCTGATGCTGATGCTGATGCTGATGCAATTGCTGATACTGATGGTGATGGTGATTGTGATGGAGATGGTGATGGTGATGGTGATGGTGATGGTGATGGTGATGGTGATGGTGATGGTGATGGTGATGATGATGGTGATGATGGTGATGGCAATGGTGATGGTGATGGTGATGTTGATAGTGATGTCAATGATGGTGATGATATTGATGATGGTGATAGTGATGATAATGATAAAGATGGTGATATTGATGATGATGATGATAATGATATTGATGCCAATGGTAATAAGTACCCTGTTGTCAGTGCATCCCATCCATCTAGTCGTTAACAAAAAGCTTATCCTTCTTCTCTACAGAGAAGTTTTTTTGCTATRGAAGAATGGAGACGGCAGTTGCAGCGATATGGACCACCACATGTCRTCATTGCAATTGCTGGAAATAAATGTGACAAAGACGATGAACGTGAGGTGAGTCTTCAAGATTTGAAATTAGAAGTCAATKTATTCAAGGCAACAAGTACAGGGCTCAAAATAGGGGCCTGCCAATGGCCAAATGACAGGACRAATTTCAGGTTTGCCAGGCAAAAATAAGAATGCACTGCCAAATGAATAATAAAATGACATGCACRATTTACTGGAATGACCTCCTTTTACCATGCTCCTTTACTATGGCAGGCTAATAAAAATTCCTATTTTGAGCCCTGAAAGTAGTGATAATTCTGCACCATCTTTACTGCCAAGAAAACATGCAAGTTCAATTAACATTAACATTAATTGATTAATTAATTAAGTAATGATGCTGTTTAGAACGATAGCACCCAACAGCAAGGCATGCGCAGTCAAGATTTCTATAATTGGCTTAAGTAATTATATCCAAGCTCTCTGATTGGCCGAAAAAAATAGTCATTGTATTTTTTACGGAATAACGCTGAAATATTAGTACCGAATTGTCATTCCATTTACCAAAGATACATCGGAACTATTGTCCGAATTTTTTTTAGACCAATCATATTTGGGAAACACTCGGAAATCTATTTTGTGATGTTCCCCACATACAATTTGTTCCAAACTCGCCTATGTTATCAATCATTGTTCAACAAGTCTGCTCGCCAAATTACGGCAACTATACCGGACTCGTATAAGAACAAGAACGAAAATAAGTTTGAATTTGGTGCTTTTCGAATTTAAGGCAATAAGATTGAAAAATATGATGTAATTAACACTGCCGTAATCCAAATCGTAAACGGCTGCCCATGCCGCAGGCCTATTGTTCTCGCTATCGTTCTAAATGGCATCGTTACTTAACATCAAGAATCCTATTTTTTGTGGTTCGTTGGCTCACTTTTTGTGATGCAATGACAGGCTCACTTGAGTCAGTACTGCAAATTCGTAACTAAAATTCCAATCATTCTTTGTCTCCACAATCTACATGCTGCACAATTTCACCTTGTTTTTGCAAGGGAAGAACTTAATAGCCAGTGGCTAACAGACCTGTGGCCCTGATTCCATGATCGAATTGAAACTTAGAAGTTGCTTTTTGTGGAGGTAAACCGGAGAACCGRAAAACCCTCAAAGCACAGGAGAGAATTGAATGAACAACTCTACTCACATGACACTGAGCTGAGCTCAATGGGACTTGAACCAGGGCAACAGTGATGAGAATGCTATTCCACCTGTGCTTCCAAAACCAGTTTTATTTCTTGCAACCTGTTACAGGCTTGGGACATAATTTTGTCATGACGTTGATAATTTAGCATAAGAAGCATATCATGTCACATGAAGGAATTAATTATTCCTTGCTACCTCCTCTTGTGTATTGTGTTGCCATGTGAGTTGTCTCTTGGTGGCCCCAGTTATAGTATTTGCACTGTRAGAGTCCTCTGATCCTWATGCTCTGATCCTGCTTTTCCTGGAGAGTTGAGGCCAGAGTAGGCTGCTTCACATCTGTGATGCAGGCTAAAGCCAGAGCATTSAATCTCAATTTTGATTTTATAGGTTCTTACAGTAAACGCCCAAGAATATGCAAGCAGTTTTGATGCCATCTTTGCAGAAACAAGTGCTAAAACGTCCAGAAATGTGAACTTCATTTTTGAAGAGCTTTGTACGTACTTGATTGATATG